GGCACAATCGGAATATCTTCCCGTTTTATTATTTGCAGAAATCGTTGACATGATAACCGAGATCTCACAGCCCCGAGCATTTTCTGTCTTTCAATACGGCAGTAAATCTTGCAGACTATCTCTCTTCGATGATAACGAGAAGAATCGACTGGTTTCCTGGCTTCTCGATTGCTACAATAGATACGAAACAGCTGCCTCTCAGGAGGAATCCGGCATCATGAAGAAAGCAGTCAAGGTTGTACAGTTGATTTTTAACAGGGTAAACAGAAAGAACGTGGGTGGGGGAGTGGATATATAGGCCTACCTTTGAAAAGTCCTTTCGTCTGGCAATGGAAGTCTAGTAAGAGAATAACATGAACATGGAGCCTCTATCATGTTGATGGCAGTTGTAGATATATGAATAAATTATTATCTGCACCAGTTATGATGTCATTACATGCATGATTTTTGTGTCATTAAATACCTACTGCTAGATTGATATCTACACGATATGGAGCAAATCAGAGGCAAGTACATTTATACATGTATACACGTATATTAAATGTAAATATATTCCACGTGTTGGAAAATATATACAATAACATTAGGATTCTTGTGAGGTTCATGATAATTACCAAATCTTTTTTAATAAACACAAATGTTCGGAAATCTCTATAATCTTAAACAATAACTCTGACTCTTCTTTCATCTCCAAAATTAATTACTCATGTATCCATGAGAATGACACCCCCCCCCCCCCCAACTTACTGAGATGGGACATCCAACCACCCCTTCCTACCGAAGGCTGCTCCATCGAATGCAAGTGTAATCACAACATTTTCCTCTTGACTGTCGTATATAATTATGATGAAGACGATTTGAGTACTCCACACTGATGTAACTATACCCCGTGTAATACAATTGGTTATAATATATATATAACTATAACAGACTTCGAGAAATCAACATAAGGCATTTCATATAGTATAATGTGTCACTTAGTGAAATTTTGGGAAATGAATGTGACATAAATAATCCGAACATGATTTCTATAGTCATTGTTTGGTTTTTAGAATTGCCTACAAGTTGAATTCTTATGGGTCTTTGCGATTGCGTTTTTTATATAATAAGAAAAAATGACCAAAATTACAAATTCCACTGAAAATCTTTTCATTGGTATCTAGGCTTTACTCGAAAGTTACAATTGTAATTTATTTTTTTGATGAATGAGAAACTAAGGTAAACGGCAATGTTGTACATATTCGATATGATATATTTTACAGACCTTCTGTAATTTTTCATTTAATAAATCAACTTTCTTCGTTGTTTGGTTTCGTTGATTTGTTTGTTTCTCTGTATATCTTCCAATAGGGATTTATATATTGGCAACGCTTTTAAACTGTAATATTCATAACTTCTGCGAAAACTTTAGCATATCAATCACGTTCATGACTTTTTTAGTATTTTCTTTTAGTGTGAATAGATTAATGCTCTGCACTGGTATTTGCAGTTAGCAATTGCCAATAGGATAGATGTATAAAATAGTAGCAGTAATAACCATTATGTATAACAATGGGTGCTGTGTCTTTTGTTACGTTCGGCGCTGTTAACATGGTGAAGTTAGGTAAAGGGCGCCCTGCCCATTTGACATGTATTTTCATCATCGATATGTGTTCGTCGTATCAATAAATACACTTTAATGGTTTACGCTCTCGTTGTTCACGTTATTTATTCTACAAACCTGCACCATTTCAAAGATATTGGTATAGTTTCTCAAGTTGATTGAGATCTGAGATTGATCATGTTAATATTTTGTTTCTAAGGGACATGTAATCGACATGTCTGCTGAAGTCTCGTGAGAACAGCGAAAGAGAATGAAAGTGCTAGTGTTTGATATTTCAGGTGTCGGCATAGAACGGGATGTTACTTTGACTCCACCTGTCATTCCGATGTTGGACTGTTTCCAATCCATTAACTTTCCATTGTTAAATGCTAATCCAAACAATTGACCACTACACTTAAAGAAATTCGAAAATCAGAGAGGTAGACTGGTGAAATATTGAATGAAATCGGACGAATAGTAAGAAAATAATGGGTTTTGAACAGGTTGTAATCACTATACGTATGGGTATTTCGAATTGACTGCATCAGAAATGTCACTGTGACGCAGTGCCGGACAACTTTCTCATTTGTTTCAATACATAAAATGACTATATTTTCTTGTTGCTTTTCTTCAAAATGCATGAATAACGAGTATGGTGCCCCTGAAGGGACATCGCGAATAGACTAAATCGTGAAAAATATGCGATAAAATTCACGATATCGTCAATTTTATCGCATATTTTTCACGAAGAAATTCACGAAATTGACGATATCGTGAACTTTATCGTGAACTTTTCACGATGAAATTGACGATATTGTGAAATTTATCGTGAAAAGTTCACGATATAAAGTTCACGATATCGTCAATTTTATCGTGTACTCTATCGTGTACTCTATCGTGTACTCTATCGTGTACTCTCCTGACGGGCGCTTCGTAAACAAAACCAGCCCTAGCTGGGGGAGACAGAGAGAAGGAAAAAAGGGAAAGGGAAAGAGAAGATAAAAGGAAAGAAAGAATAATAAGAAGAAAAGAGGGAAACGGGGGGGGCGAAGGGCTCTTGCCTCCTCCTCACTCTCCCCCCCCCCCCCCCCCGCCAAAAAATAAATAAGGAGAGAGAGAAGGGAAAGGGAAAGGGAAAGAAAATATAAAAGGAAAGAAAGAAGATGAAGAAGGAAAGAGGGAAACGGGGGAAGGGCGAAAGGCTCTTACCTCCCCCCCCCCCCCCCCCGCCAAAAAAATAAATAAGAGAGAGAGAGAGAGAGAGAGAGAAGGGAAAGGGAAAGAAAGAAGAGGAATAAGAGGGAAACAGGGGAAGGGCGAAGGGCTCTTGCCTCCTCCCCCCCCCCCCCGCCAAAAATAAATAAGAGAGAGAAGGGACTAAGGGAAAGAAAATATAAAAGGAAAGAAAGAAGAGGAATAAGAAGGAAAGAGGGAAACGGGGGAAGGGCGAAGGGCTCTTGCCTCCTCCCTCCCCACCCCCCGCCAAAAAAATAAATAAGAGAGAGAGAGAGAAGGGAAAGGGAAAGAGAATAAAAAAGGAAAGGAAGAAGAATAAGAAGAAAAGAGGGGCTCTTGCCTCCTCCCCCTCCCGCGCCAACAAATAAATAGGAGAGAGAGAGAGAGAGAGATAGAGAGAAGGGAAAGGGAAAGGGAAAGAAAATATAAAAGGAAAGAAAGAAGAAGAAGACGGAAAGAGGGAAAAGGGGGAAGGGCGAAAGGCTCTTACCTCCCCCTCCCCCCTCCCGCCATAAAGGGAAAGAGAAGGGAGAGGGAAAGAAAATATAAAAGGAAAGAAAGAAGAGGAAAAAGAATAAGAAAAGAGGGAAACAGGGGCGAAGGGCTCTTGCCTCCTTTTTTTTCTTTCTTTTCCTTTCTTTCCTATTCTCCCTCTTTTTCGTTTTTCTCTTTCTTTCTTCTCTTTCCCTTTCCTTCTCTCTCTCTCTCTTATTTATTTTTTGGCGGGGGGCGGGGGACGAGGCAAAAGCCCTTTGCCCCCGTTTCCCTCTTTTCTTCTTCTTCCTCTTCTTTCTTTCCTTTTATCTTCTCTTTCCCTTTCCCTTTCCCTTCTCTCTCTCTCTCTGATTTATTTTTTGGCGTGGAGGGGGGGGGGAGTGAGGAGGAGGCAAGAGCCCTTCGCCCCCCCCCCCCGTTTCCCTCTTTTCTTTTTATTATTCTTTCTTTCCTTTTATCTTCTCTTTCCCTTTCCCTTTTTTCCTTCTCTCTGTCTCCCCCAGCTAGGGCTGGTTTTGTTTACGAAGCGCCCGTCAGGAGAGTACACGATAGAGTACACGATAGAGTACACGATAAAATTGACGATATCGTGAACTTTATATCGTGAACTTTTCACGATAAATTTCACGATATCGTCAATTTCATCGTGAAAAGTTCACGATAAAGTTCACGATATCGTCAATTTCGTGAATTTCTTCGTGAAAAATATGCGATAAAATTGACGATATCGTGAATTTTATCGCATATTTTTCACGATTTAGTCTATTCGCGATGTCCCTTCAGGGCCACCATAAACGAGGGCCTTTTCTTTTTAGAGTACCTATAACAATATGATATCCATAATATATTTTGAGTAATGCCCCCAAAAGAGAGGGCACAAGAGAAAATAAAAATGAATATTTTTGTACACGACAAACTGGGTTATCCATGGCTAGGTCACAACCAACTGACCAAATTGCCAATTTGATATTCGCTAAGATTTAGTGATCTCATATTTCAAACATTAATAACTTTCTTATTATTCGTTCGATTTACTACAAACTTTCACTCATTTGTTTTCCCTTTTTTTCCTGAATGAACTTTTTACAAAGGTTGGTTGGGTTGCCCTTTTAGTCTAAAATTATGTATTCAAAAAGGGCGTTATTTACACCAGCGGTTTAAAAGTTGGAAAGGCTAAAGAATAAAGTTATGTAAGATACATCATTACATTAATATACATGTACTGTATATGAACATGTAAGAGTGTGGATGTGCGTGTAAGTGTGGGTGTTAAAATTAATTCTGTTTTATGATCATGAAGTTTCTAATGGTTTAGTTTACGTGTTGATCCACTTTTTTCATTCAATAAGAATAGCATAGACAATTTATTTTGTTTATACAAAATAACAAACACAAAGTTTAAGGTTTTTGAAACAGTAGATATTTTTTAATTCAATCATATATAACTTATCTTCACGTGTACATTATACTCAAGAATCACATAAAAGGCAAAATTTAAAGGTCTATAAATTCCAATCAATTGCCTCCTAAAACAATACGAACATGCGACCATACAAAATCATACAGTAAATTAGTATGGATTATGATTTTCTATCATCTAAACAGATTTTTCTGTGTGTGGAAGAGCGTGTGGTTGCGTGTGTGTGGGCGGCTGTGGCGTGCGTGTTCGTGTGCGTGCGCGTGTTCGTGTGTCTGTGTGTGTATGAGATTATTGTGGGGGGGGGTATCTCGCGAAAACCTTGTAACTACACACAAGAAATCAGTACAGCGGCATTGTAACAGTATAATATATAACAAAAATTCTCAAGAACAGTATATATAAACAAATCTAAATTTTGAACGGGTAACGATTAAACATACAAATAATTTACAAATCTGAAAATAATGTTTCGCAAAAGGTCTTGGCTGTGTAACTCATTTACACACTTCATCAAATTCCTCAGCCGCCGTTTTTATATTTATGCTTTTATCTAACTATACGCGGATGGAGACATATAACATTCAGTACTGTCCAAAGTTCTACAGATTACATGTGCAAAAGGAAACGCTATCTGACTTCGGTGCAGGTTCTGCAGCATCTTTCACGAAAGTGTGTTTGAGAGCAGCTTCCTGATTGGACGATCATCAAACACATGGTGGTGCTGAGTGTATTTCTGCAAACTGTTAACAGAAAATAAAAAAGTATATATAAAAAATTGTAATATTCACAAGACCTTATGCACAAAAACATTTAATTAATAACAAGAGTAATAGATGGTATTTATTATTTCGCTTTTTTATCACTGGAAACAAAGCGTCAAGATATGTCATCCCTGGGTCAGCGTTCGAGTAAAAATATATAAAAATTACTAAGCAGTGACAGTGTGAGTTCAATGAATGCATATGGACCCCGTTGCATAAAACTTGCCATTGATGGTAACTTTGCCATCAATGTCAACTACCATGGTAACGGGACTCCACAGCCAATCAAAATCAAGGTTTCTATGGTAGTTACCATTAATGGCAAAATTACCATCGATGGTAAGTTTTGTGTAACGGGGCAATGGTTTCAGAATAGATATGGCTTCAAACTCTGTGAATTTTTCTAAAGTTGGTGATTATTTAAGTTAGGTGGGAGCCTTTTCCAGAGTTTGGGAGCAGTAGATAAGAAAACTGCAACGTCACCTAGTTTGTTGGTGAGTGGTTGAATGCAGGTCACTGACGATGGTTGACGAGTGCGCCGTCAATGAGAACGCCGTTTCTCCGTCTTCTCTTATTTTGATTACAATTTGGTTATCAATGATTAGGGTAGTTGTAGTGGTAGTGGAGGTTATTTTACCTGACTGCTAAGAAAGCATAAATGCTTGTTAGTAAGCAACTAGAGCAGTTAATATATGATTGTAACAGTCATATGCATTGTTAATAATACCTCGAGGACAAATGCCCAAGTTACAAGACTGCAATGAAACGGGTTGATTTTCTTGGGAGCATCCTGGTGTCCTCTGGCCGGTGATTCTATCAACACACTCCACTATTCGTTGTTGGATACCATCGCCACAAGTTACAGAGCACTGTGAAAGAAATTGAGATGATAATGACATGATGCGTGGGCATCAGAGGAATGTAGAAGTGGGAAACATACCCCCCCCCCCCCCCATTTAGCTATCACATTGTTTGTTAACCTACAGCTTGGTGAAACGCTTGACATAGGACCAACAAAGTTGTGAAAAGGTGAGGAATGGGCCACTCATTCCACCCTTCCGAAATAAAATTTACAATTTATGTAGTACATTCAATGTTAGATGTTTATTCAATGTTAGATATATCGACATATATTGTCGACATTTAAGGTATCATTTCACATCATATTAGTTTCTCTTTCCTATACAAATATTATCCACCTTGTACTAAAAAAAAAGGGCTTAAATACAAGTTTCATGCTCTGCGGCATTACCATCACTTGTCGAGCTCTGACACCGTGTCTATGTTCATGAAAGCCCCTGTCAAAATGCTTAGAATTACAAATAAAGAAAGCTATTAAGGTCGGAACCTACCGGCTGCCACGGTTGTTTTGACCACCCAAACGAAGGCTCTTGAGACTGATGTTGCAGACGAGTAGCAGTATCTGAAGCCGGTGGATGCTTGTCGTTCAGGGCAGATGGGAATAAGATAAAATTTACATACGGAGAATCCGGCACAACAGGAAGTTGGTTTATTGTAGAATCCTTGCGCTCTTTTTCTATGACATCAATGTCATGGGTAGTAATGTTCAATTCGTAGTTAGGTTTATGAGGCGCTTCTTCAGATGGCACAGGCGGGTGCAGTTTTGTGCTATTAGCCGCCGATTCGTGTTTCTGGATGGCAATCTTCTTCTCCCACTCGCCGAAATTCGCTGGGTAGTCACTGCTAGCGGACACGCTCGCTGATGAGTGTTCTAGTGAAGATTCGTCCGCGTAGGAGCGGCTTTCAGGAGCCTCCGGCATAGCGTTGTAGAAGTCTTGTCTCCTAGGGCATTGATCTAAGAAGCATGGTCTCCTGTCGCTGGGCTTTCCTGCAACATCGCAAGGTTTGATGACGTTCGTGCAGATAACAGACCTGGTATGCCACCCACCGCCACACGAAACGGAACACTTTAAGGGAAATATATAGGAATAAATCATTCTCATGTATGGTATGGTATTTATATTATGAACATTTAGTAGGGGTATAGTGGTAGATCACAAAACCTTTTAGAAAAATATCGAATCTACTCCATAACCTTATATAATAACAGTTTATTCGAGCAATTTGCAGTAAAATCCTTCGTTTCCAAATGTATTTCCTGTGTTTATCCTCCCTGTTTATGTCATTATGCCTATATTCAAGAGCAATAGTCAAAAGCTGTCGACATGTTGACTACTCACGTTAGATCAAATTGAATTAACAGTATTATTCCTCCAATACCATATCGCACAGTTCTGTATGACGAACATCTGCACGCGCTTACCTGCGACCATTCTCCTGTCTGCCAGTTGTCATTGGATTCACAGTGCAGGTCAACCGCACATGTGGTCTCAGTGACGGGTTTCTCTTGGTCCTGACTAAGGCAGTCGACGTCATCGAGGACAGTCTGTTCGCCGTTGGTGGAACCACGTATGCAGAAGACGCATCGCTGTCTGTGCCCCTCCTCTCCACAGCTTCCTGTGCAGTGTTGCCAAGGCCCTTCCCACCATCTGTAGCAACACGAATTGGTCAAGAACTATTCTGTGCGAACCTGACATGTCTTTTTATAACTTCAGTGCAATTTTGAAATTTATGTATGTTACACAAATCATCAGAGGCTTTTTGAGTACTAACAAAAGGAATCAAGTGATAAGTTTAATAACTTGATCTTCCAAAACAAAACTTTGTCCAGGAAGACAAGGCATACAATTTTTATCATCCATAGTGTTTGGAGATTATTAAAAATGTCATCCGCAGATAAAATATGGTGGGAACAAGAAATATTACTGACTGCAACATTGTATAGGCCGAAGGGCCTCACATGGACGTAGCCTCGCCTTCACGCTAAATGGAATGCAGATTTTATTCAATGGCTGGAGAAAATGAAAGATTTTGCTGAATGATCCTACTGGGTGAAAAACAAACTCACGTGGCAGGGCACTGTTGTTCATTGCAAGTCTGCTGCATGTCGTCTGGTTTTATGCCTTCACAGTATCGGTCATCAACCAGTCCGGCTATCAACTCTTTGCAGATCACACTCGAACGCTGATAACCTGATATCGCAATAAAAAATACAAAAATTCATTCAAAATTTTAAAAAAACATGCAACAATAATGCATAATTGTTTTTCAATAAATTAAAGAGTTAGGTTTGGACCATAGTACGACGTGAATCAATGTATTTAAAACCAAGTTAGTCTAATGATCGGGTTTTTGGTTTGCCTATACAATAACCAGATAACCAGATTTCGACCCTTAGTCGCTACTGCTTTAATGGTGACATCAATGGTTAGTCCAAAATGTGAATAACCGGGGCCCTGTTTTCTTGAAACTTAGAAACGAGAACAATAAACATTGTAAGTTACTGAAATCATTGTATTTGATTGGCTGAGAGCAAATTCGTCATTGAGGTTTAACATTTGTTACATATAAGAAGTTTTATGAAACAGGGTCCAAGTCTGTACGAACCACAGGACATATATATATATGATAAAAACCCTTTATGGAAGAATGCCATCGAGAAGACGAAATGAAGACGAAATAAATTTCTCATCAGATCAAATTATGAGGATAATGAAGAAGAGATAGCAATGCCAGAACGTCGTGAAATCAACCAGTACTAAGGACCAAAACGCGTGATACCAGTCTTAAATTAATAACTTTGACTTCCTAAGATGTTCCTCGAGACCAACTGAAAAACTGATCATGTTCCCTTGCCTCCTCTTTAGAGAAGCTCCAGTCAAGGACTTGATGAATACTTTTTGGCTGTCCTTTTCCAACAAAATAATCAACTGCATTGGCAAGATTCTTTTCATTTTTTCGTCTCAAGAAATAACGAGAATTCTGATAATCTCTCCTCGTTTCGTTGTTTTTGAATCTGCCTAATTTGCCGGTTCGTTAGCACTATAAAGCTTTCACAGAACATAGCTACAAGGGATAAGGACAACTAACCAATGCCACAGGATGCAGAACACGGGGACCAATCGGTAAAGACCCAGGAGAAGAACTGCGGCATGACAGCAGTCTGGTTTCCTTCTCTCGGCATGGTATACTTGTATGTTATGCCAGGGTTCTGAGCTCGTTGAAATATGAGCTGAAAAAGGAGAGAGGGAAAATATTATCACATATTTTCTGATACGACGTACATGATGTGTTTAACAATTTAATGGGACAATGGGTATATATTATTGAAATCAATACCTGACAAAAAATATGTTATTGTTTTAAAACTCAATGACAAAGCAAACTATAAAACAGTTGATCAGCACATCTACCCCAATAAATCATACAAGTATAAAAAAAAATTTTGATACTCCAAAACCAGTTTAACCGACAGAGATATTTCTTTTCAACCTGTCAGGCGGGTACATATATTACTGATGGGGTATGTCAAATCCATGGTATATTTGCCTATTCAAAAATGGTTCTAGAAACCTTTTCTTTTCTTTTTTGTCTCGTAAATGCACATTTCAAAACTACTTAACAAATTTCAAAAAGTGAGTTTGTTTGTTTTGTTTAGTATTGCTATTATCGTTGCTTGTTAATAATCTATGTCATTTTTTGTTGATATAATATATCAGAAAATCCCTTCCGATTATTATGATTATTATGAAACACAATCCCATGAAAGATATTCCAGTAAAGCCCCTATTTACATAGATGTGCAGTGGTTCGCTGATGGGACCTAGTATCTCCACTCGTTCTTTGTTGTCTATCCTCTCGTAGCTGATAATGGTCCCTGCGGCCTGATACTCCCCGCTCCAATCAATATACCAATCCATGTTTAGCAGGTCATGTCCTGATGCATTGCTAATGGCCAGGTAGTTTTGGGAAGAGACCAATTCATCCAACACGATGTTCCTAGCACCGGCAGGGATGACGGTGATTTCCACATAACCTACAATAATATAAACTACAATTATAATTGGGGTCTTATTTACCCAGGGTAGCAACATCATTATTAATACTGCTCTTCATGTGGAACCCTGCAATTCCTATTACCCCAGCATTGCCAGGTACCTGTTTACACCTGGGTGGAGAGTGGCAAAAGTGGATAAATGTCTTGCCAATTTACGTTGGTGCCGGTATGTGATTCGAACCCTTAACCCTTGCATTGAGGGTTAATATAATTTTTTGGGTGGTTTTTTTTTTTTTTTTTTTTTTTTTTTTTTTTTTGTGATGAAATTATTGCTTGGATAAAATGAGTTAAAGTCTTCTCCTAATAAAATGGCTGTTCTCAATTCTCAAGCATTTTTTTTTTGTACAATAAGGTCCCACTCACCAAAACCCGATGGTAACTACATTCGAGAAAAAAAATTCAATCAAGGGGCAAATTCAATTCCCTATTGTATATTTCATAGAAATCATGTTCAAATTACATATTACGTCTTTGCAATGTAGTCAACGTACAAGGTCAGTGAAACTGTCTAAGGTTTATTTTTCATAAGAAGTTGCAATCGCGTTGTTCAAATAAAATGTAGGTAATCATACATTGTATGCAATATAACAAAAATGAGACATAGATGTATGAATCGTTCCATTTGAATAATTTGGTTAGATAAAGCGAATCGTACAAACCTCGTCCATACTTCGTGTTGAAACTATCCTGAATTGTAAGGCAGGATGACCCATCCCCGCGGCATACACCGCATCGGTCCTCCACCGCCCCTGAGCTGACAACATTATCACAACCAACCATCTGGGGGGGAAAGCGTATTTTTAAAAGGTACCAATCACTAAAAAATATATTTGTTCTTCAGTATGATTGGGGTACCATATGGCTATGCTATATTCAAAATATGAGCTTCATATAATACTTAAATACAGAGATACTGCAAGTTTAAATATATTCTCCATTAACATAAAATGAAATTATTGTAAAAGTAGTTTTCATTTATTAGGACGGGGACAAGTACCTTTGATGCACCCCCCCCCCCTTCTATATCTTCTGTTCGATGTATTCCATTTATTATTCATAATTCCGAAAATAAACAAGGGTTCATTATTCCGAAGGTTCATTCTTCCGAATATTAGATTTGGTTCATAATTTCGAAGGTAAGTATTTCCGAAAAACGATACAGGGTTTCGGTATTATGAACCCTATCTCGTTTGTTTGTGTTTTGGGGGGATATAAACCTTCGAATTAATGAACTTTCGGAACTATGAACCTTCGAAAAAAGGAACCCATACCTGACATATACCGTCAATGCAGATATCACGTGAGAAGCGAGTACATGGAGTTCCATTGGTCACGTGAACTGACTTCTTCTTTATCAATGCTTGATCACGACGTCTGCAAAACAATTCACAAGGTTTATCTACAAAAAAAATAGAACGAGAGAAATTGATTGTTTATCATATACATTAGCCTATAAGAGTGAAAAGACAAAGATATATACAGAAAGACACACTGTCAGAATAGGAAGAAAAGAGCGAAAGTAAAATTACATATTTTCATACATTCCGTGTAGAAGATACTTCTACTACATTTTAAGGAGGAATTCTCCACACTTTTTTCATGATTCAAGCCACTCGGTCACATCACCCCCCCCCCCCCCTTAAAAAAATCAATATCTATAATTCCCAAGAAAAGTCCCCATGTTATTACACCTTTGTCTAACAATGGAAATGTAGATTAACCCTGGCCAAGGGACATTGTGCTGATGTTCAGGGGCCATTATGAGTGAAAGGAATTTGAGGTGAAATTTTTGCCATGAGCCACTCAGTTTTATAGCCAGTTGACTTGTGGTATTAGACACAGTTAGTAGGCCCCAAGCTTCTTTGAAGGAAGAGTGAATGGGCTGGTCGCATCAAAATTTCCCAACCGAATTTTAGTCTCAAACCATCCCTGGGGGGGGGGGGTAGGATTCGAATCATCAACTTTGAAGTGAATGAACCACTACGCCACGCACCTTCGACATCGACTGGAATCCATGCGAGTTGAGTACCATTCGATTGGATTGTATCATAGGTACTGCACTGCATGGCACGAACACTCACAGATTCATGAACGCAATCCTAGAAAAAATAAAAGCAACAATGACTTATATTTCACGGAATCAAAGCCACATACATGTTTTACTTTGAAAGTCGAGATAAGGATGAAACAATTTGGTGTGTATTATATTTGTAATAATTATATAAAGAGGCAAGCGACAACTGGTGAAGGCACCGTTGTACCCGTACCGGCAAATCCATGATTTCGAAGAGTGTTTTTTATTTGTAAGTGACATTGAATACACAAAACATATGTATAATTACAACAAGAAATAGAAAACGAACATTAGCAACCAGGGGTCCTATTAATTGTTAATCCCCCTATACGAAATGTTCATGTCACAACTATGAGACATCTAAGAGGTGCTCCATCCCATTGGTTCTACCACTGATACATATCTAAACATTGCAACTATAACATAAATATTTTCCATCTGTATCATAATAGTGTAAGTCCAAGCTATAGTGTGTCCCGTACGTCACAGACCAGATGATATAAGATGTTAGAACATATGATCATTGTCGTAATAGCAATACTAGAGCTTTAATCAGACCAGATACATTTGAAGTCAGTATAATTATGTTCAGAACTTTATAGCACTTGGTGACGTACAGGGCAACAAATGATCAAAACCTTGTACTTGCCCTTCTCTGCACCGATTGATTACATTACTGCCTGAATGAATGAACGTCTTATCTAGGACCAAGGTACGTAAATCGATGTTTCTGAACCCTATATTTTGTCATGCTTCCATCTATAGTTGTTTTTCAAAATTAGTCGATTTAAGTTAATAGTATACGTACCTGAAGCTTACACATGGTATACTTCTTTCTCTCACCAACACAGTATCTTCCTCCATGAGATGGACTACAGGAGCAATGGTAAAACAACAAAAATAATTTCTCTGAGTTGGTATTCGTAAAACTTTACCCGGAATGATTCGTCTGGGGACTCGCTGGCTGTCGCCGCAGTTGTGTTTAATAGTGAAGGAACACCGATCCGCAGGAATATGACATGGTCATTATCCCCTAGGCGCCCTGGATAAAGATTTCGTTCAAAACGCCCATTGGAGCTGTATTTTAGTATGCCGATCAGTTTCTCTACAGCACGAACATTACTGCACGAAGTATAGTAAGCCCATGTTACGATCTAAGCTACGACCACTGATCAGATTACGACCGTAACCCAGCGATATCTAAAATTGTGTAGCTGCATTATAATCTTCAGCAGGTTGCACATAGAAAGTTTGTACATCAATCATTGGAGCTCTGTCAAGTGCACATGAATTTTGACCACCTCTACTCCATCGTGATATTTCTTTCGAAGCTATAAACCGTAATACATGTACTTCAACATCTTATAAGATAATGGAGATGGCAATCCGAAAAGTCAGAAAAGAATACCTTGGGTTGTTACAGTGTCTCTCTTTAGACTTGACGGCCCGTCCACACGTCAGGGAACACTCAGAGTACTCGCTCCATGGACCCCATCCGCCATCGATGACCACGGGATGTTCATCGATGTCGATACACTCTCCAGATATACACCACTGAACACAATCAAAGAAGAGATATCTTTAACAACAATCATACATAATGTCATTGGCCCTGACAGGATCTAGGCCATTGCATTAATGACTTTGAAGAAAGCAATTCAGTCATATTCTTTTTATATAAATATTCGTTTATGTCTATATTTGTGAATGGAATGTTTTTAGGCCGTGAATAAAACAAGCCAGACCAAGCATTTGTAACTATGACGGCAGGTCGAGGTAGGGATTTCAGGATCAAATCGGTCGAGACTGTTTGTGAATGTGACATGTACTCGAGTGTTCAATAACGGATTTTTAAAATCATATTGTTCTTACACTCTTTATCAATTTTGGGGGACGACCCTATATCTACTGACCTCACCTTTGTTTTATAAATTTGCATTAGTTATTGCACGATCTAACATAGCATTATGGATCCAAAGTATATTACAATTGATGAAGCATTCATGCGGGAACGGACTGGAACTGAAATTCGGTTGGAGAATTCTGTTGTAACCTGGCCAACTCAACCTATAACCGGCCCTCAGAACACTTATCAACGGGGCCTCAAGCCGTAATATCTGACAGCCCGTGGAGAAACTGTTCTAAGCTCCCCATGGCCTAGACATTTCTGGAGGCCCCTATTAAATGTCTAGCTAGGGGTTCTAGGGCACCTACCCCTGGACATCCATCCTCCCGGATAACCACCCCCAGTCAACTATCCCCTAGGACAACCACCCTCTAGGATGAATACCCTCTGGACAACTCCCCCTACGACAACTACCCCTTACGACAACCTTCCTTTGTGACTTCGGGCCTTATTGTGTGAGATTACACCACTAGATGTTTGAAGGTGACCCTTTATTTTTTTTAACGGTACTAACCTTGTCTTTCCCACACCGAGAGCCCTGTGCAGCTGCTGTCATGCGTGATCTCCTCATGACTCCTACGCTACACCACAGGGTAGTACAGAGATCAGACTGGACTCAGCGGAGTGGAGTGATGGAGTATAAGCAATTAGAGTTTATAGAAAGAGATGAAAATGAAAGTTGGAAAATAAAGAGGGAAAGTTAAAAGATAGATACAGATAGACAAAGAAAGGAATGAAGTGAGGAGAGAATTAGTGAAGAAGGAAAAGAAAGATTTCAAATAAAAGGAGAGACATGATTTAAAGTAGAAATAAACGCTTGAGATTGTTGGGGTATTAAATCAATGGAAAATGCTGTAGTCATGCTCATGAACTCAATTTTAAACATTATCCAATACATTGGAATTTCTCGCTAAAATACTTGACAAAAAGCTAAAGATTTATTTTTTATAATCCCTGCCTAATTTTTTCAAATATTCCAAAACTGATCGACTTCTTGATTATTTGTCTGCCTCGCTCCTTTTATTTATCCATCACAGAGTGGTAGTTGAAATTTGTCCTTGTCTTTGTGATATTAAGTGTAAGATAATCGCAAAGATTCTTACTTCAAACATGGGACTGGCAGTTGCATTCGGTCCGTACTGTAGACGACATTGGTGGTCTGCCGAGTACATGACACCCGGTAGAACCTTCGGATATTTGTAAGGTGTTGATGAAGGCATATCCTCCAGGCAGCTACCCCGTCCACTACTGCAGAAATCATAATTATACGTGCAAATAATATTGAATTTTCACGACATGATTCAGAACAAATTCCAATCACTAATTAACAAAATCATCTTTTTGTAAGAAATGTGAGTAATTTGGTATTCTAAATGCCATAGCTTTGTTTTAAATATTGGGAATTTTTAGGTAAAGCAATCTCTAACTCGTATATTCATTCTTTTACAGATAAAAACGTTCTTCTGCCAAGCCGTTCATAAGTCCGACTTTCCTTCAATCCCACCGCTGTCGCCGATGTACTCTAAATATAAAGTGAGCTACTCCTTGCTGCCGGTAGATCATGGGTAAGACCACTATAGATGTATGCGGATATTACATATGTACCTGATAGGCCTTATATTTCCATCGCTCCAACCATAATTCTATTTACTCTACTGTACTCTCTGGTACAGGTAAACAATAAAGTGTATGTAAGACCACTAAAAGGACCTGGAAGACATTAAGAATGGACCTATCCATATATGATCTGATTCAATTTGAATCAATCTTAAGTCCGAATGGCCACAATCCCACTGTTGCCAACATTATTTGTTCTTACTGAAATGTACGCACTGGTACAGTAAACCATGTAATTGGTGTTGGACCTCTGGGAACCCGAGAAGACGTCACAATTACGGACCGCTGTCCACAATTGATTTGATGTCTAAATATAAAAACCAAAATGGCCTCATGATCCTACCGCTGCCGCCATATGTGTACTTACTCTAGGAAACGAGTGATGTATTCTCTGCTGCAGGAGGACCATGCTGTGGGTGTAAGACCACTAGGAACCCGTGAAGACATCACATATGGGCCACTCGGATCATCGTCAAACGAGCATGGGTTATCAATTCCGTCGTGCTGCATGCCAAAGCTATATGAGGGCAAACCATAACACGTTGTTGGGAAGTTTTTATTTTATTTTACCGTAACGACAAAATACTGATTACATAATCATCACAGTCGATAGCGTATACTTTTGTTAGAACCGTGATCTTAATCATTGAGGCATCTCCCTCAAAAACTAATTACCTGCAGACTGAAATTATGCAAAATATTAAGTTGAAATCAAGAATAGTTAACATGCCTACGTTTTTAATATTTGATGATATTGCGATTTCGTACAGTGTAAGATGGTATTAACTTGAGGTGTATTTATGGAGTGCAGAGGCGGGGGAAGTGCCCAGGGTGGTACTTGAAAGGCGCACAAAATAGATAAAGAGAGACAGAGAAAGGGAAAGAAAACCATTAAATTTTAGGGTCTTTAAAGAATATATGCACCCCAGTCAGTGCCGAAATGCGTTATAATACTTTGTTAAAGTCTCATTTGCCAACAAATCTGAAGTTTGGTCACATTACTCTCTTGCATGTGTTTCTTTTGGATCTTGTTATTTCGTGCTCCATTTTGGAATTTTAACGGTTTCAAATTTCAAAACAAAAATAACATAGCTTTGCTTCCCGACTGTTTCATATTTTGAATTGATAAATTTGAGCAGGGGGTCCAAATGTATTGTTTGCCCCGGAAGTAATTCGGCTAGATATGAAACTGATTTACGCTTATTCTTACTTGTGTCCCATCTCGTGCGCCACGGTGAACCCAACAGCAAGGCCGTTGTCTTCGTTGATGCTACAGCTTCGCTTCCTATTGCACATGCCAGATACGTGGGCCAACCCTAACGTGAAGCAGATATCAGAACCACGGCACAGGTCCTTCCTTCAAAAAAAAATCAATGATTATAAATGTATCATCATTGAGAAAGATGCTTAGAATTTCATGGATAGAAAGAGTATCTAATGGTATTTGCCATGGCAGGAACAAGACGAAAGCTTCTGAATAATATAAGAGGTCGACAGCTGAGCTTATTGGGTCATGTTATTCGAAAGAATGGTTCGGAAAATCTTGCACTGACTGGAAGAATAAAGGGGAGGAGGAGTAGGGGTAGAAGGAGGATTCTCAGGAGGAGTAGCTTAAAGAGTGGGATTTCTGAAAGTGGAATATGAGACAGAGAGTTATGGCATTCCATGGTCGACAACGTCTCAGGACATGGCACGCAAAGAAGAAGAACCTTATATCTAAATTTCATTTAAATAAAATCATTATTCGAAAATGAATAAAACTTTGAAGCTGTGTGTAGTCTCTAGTTAGGCCTACTTGAGACTATTCGGACAACAGTTGAATTTTGTTATGTTTGAATCACGATCAGAAGAGGGTAAATAGAAAGAAAGAGAAACGGTGAATGCAGGGGGAAAAAGAATGAGGCAGGAAAGTGTTAAGTGTCAGAAACATAAAGAGAATCAAAAAATGTATATATTATAGAGGGAGTGAAAGAGAGCCTGAATGGTAGTTAGCTCACCTGGTAAGAAGTATTGCGTTGTCATGGTGATTGTGTTGCTCATCCCCTTCCGGGTTCAATGTGTCTTGCCATGCACAGAAGCTATTCAATGTGTCGTCTGCGTTGTTAGAGATCTCTAGGTCGTCCTATAATAAAAAAAAAAGTGTATATGATATTAATGTCTAAACTCAGAACTGACTGCTGAGTAGAAGTTGAAATAGACATTTACAATAAACATGATAAATATAATACATGAAATACAAACAAATTAAACTTAACACAGCAAATGATAAATAGTTCCTCATGTACACATAGGAACATCCCTTCACTGCTATTATGTAAAAATGAGTAAAACAGGTGAATATGCATGTGACACCTGTTCTACACATTTTTACATAATAGCAGTGAAGGGATGTTCCTTTATCTACCTGAGGAACTGTATATTTTGTCCGCTTTCTTTGTCCGTCATATTCATAGTGAAGGATACGAAGAAGGATGTGAATGCATTGAGTGGTAATATTGCAAACCAAACTTGCTATCAAATTGGAATGGAACCCCCCCCCCCCCTCTCTCTCTCTCTCTCTCTCTCTCTCTCTCTTAAAAAGAATAAATTCCAGCCATGATTCACCTGTTGGTCTTCTAAGAGGATCAGGCGCACGAGGGCGATGTTCACCAAGTTCCCAATGCTCGGATCACGATAAAACTTAGCCACCTGGGTACGCAACAAAACAAAACAAAAACATTTAGCGATTGATTTTTATTTCACATATTTTTCTTAAGTTAGACTTAATATCAGTACAAGATGAAAAGAAGGCAGGACGATTTATGATAATGTATATACCATCGCCCATCGGCCTATCTTTTTATCTTATTTTGTTTTAAATACAAAAGAGGAATGCGCATCGGATTTTGTTTTACATGTATCTTTCAAGGTATTTTCACCCCCCCCCCCCCCTTTAATGTTTGCTCGGATCTTACATATTGTTTATGTCATCACTTCCATGCCTAATTCACAAACTTGAACGATGAACAGCCGTATTATCTCTGGAAGAATTATTTTGTCGCGATACTGTTTATTTACAAATTGTTACCAATTTATGCTTCAATAGATAGCAATGTAAACAAAACTCATTGAATCAAATTGAGTGATAGGTACCAGATTCATGATGGTGAGCACATAGGTCTCGATGTCCTCGTCCTTGTGGTATTCAATCATGGACTGGTCGACGACCACTAAGGTTTCCACAGTTCGCTCCATGCTAACTGACTTTCGTACCCGACGTCCAGCTCTCTTCGAAGCAGGGTCGTCATGGTGCCATGTACCTGTAGAATAAAATAGAGATATATGTCATTTGACGGGCATATTGGATGCGGTTAAATTGAATTGAAAATTGAATTTATTCACCACCATTGAAAACATAAAAAAAAAAAATAATAAATGTACAATGACAATGTCAATATAACATAAATATAAACATGACATGAATTAAAATACATGTTTTCTGCAGCGATATACATTATAAAAAATTATTTAAATAGTTATACAAAAATTTAGTGTCAAGAGTAAAACAATAAATGACTATTTACAATGTGTTTGTGATCGATGGTAAAGTAGAGTAAAATAGCACATATGCTAGTCGAGCCTGACTCTCGTTATCTAAAGCCTAAAATAAAGTTAAAGAAAAATACACGATGGGTTTCCGAAGTTCGAGGCGTTTAACCATTATAACTTGCCACGTACATTATACACTCGCGTAACGTGAATTGTCACGAAATTGCAGCTTCGCAATCGTAATTCCTGAGTCACACCAATTTCAAAGTCCTTATTTATCTTTTAGTTTGGGATCCAATCTTCTTCTTCAGCTTCTTCTTCTCCTCTTCTTCTTCTTTTTTTCTTCTTTTTCTTATTCTCCTTTTCTTCTTATACTTTGGGATCGAATCTTCTTCTTCAGCTTCTACTTCTCCTCCTCTTCTTCTTCTTCTTCTTCTTCTTCTTCTTCTTCTTCTTCTTCTTCTTCTTCTTCTTCTTCTTCTTCTTCTTCTCCTCCTCCTACTCCCTCTTCTTCTCCTCCTCCTTATTTTCCCTCTCTTCTCCTCCTTCCTCTGCCTCGTCCTTCTACTCCTCTGTTAGGTATAGGAGATCAACAGCAGCAAAATGCCTCGGGTTATTTTTTTTTCTTTCTAAGTTCATGACTGAATTACAGTCACTCATAAATGAACCTATTTAGCCTTCTGATTTTTGAAGTCCAAGTAATTTAGCAAGACAAAAAAAAAATCATTTTAAACTAGTGCAGCAGTGTATTCACAGGTCCAAATATTTTTGGTCTAAAGAGTGGCATTGTACATGCATATTCGAAAAGTATTCTACCCGGGGTCTCTGACTACTAGACTAGTGCATCAAAACATTCGTGACCTTAGGAGGACAAGGACGGCATGTCATAATTGACAGGTGTAAGGGGTCATACAAGGTCACACGCGACAAGCAGGTCGCTAATAGATGACCTTCTCATTACGTAATCGTGGAATGTCCACACGCCGCCCTAATGAGGTCAAACCAAGGGAAATGTGTGATCCAAAGACGTAGAGACGCTTTCGCCAAAGAGATACCAGCTATCCTCCTTGCTTTCGTGAAGGTGGGCATACATCGCCCAAATATCGCCAAGTTTAACCAGGGAGGTGAGACTTTAAAGTCTCACCTCCCTGGTTTAACTATTGTGATATTAAAGTTTGGTTTGTCATAACTATTCAGTTGCGTTAGTTTATATCTTGTTATAATCCACATGCATCGAAAATGTGCATTTTCATATGATGTCTTAGTTGTTTACAAATGCTTTTATTGGCATCTTGATATTATCGATATGTTATAAGAAGATGTATATATGTAATTTTCCCATAATTCGTAAAGTGTCGATAGAGATAAAATATCCCATTTTAAGTTTCATCTGTTTAAAAGGTATAATGTCGATTGATGTGTAATGGTCAATATACAATCATAAGTTGTGTCTAGAAATGAATGGTTGATCTTTATATGATAAACTTTTTGAACCATCGAAATTGTAATGTATCAAATTGACTCAATATGGTGCCTAAAATTGAACTTTTTGGCACCATCCTGACACCATCCATTCAATGAAGTAAATCCAATCATCAATATTACCGAGGTGCTAAATGGGTATCCATTGGGATACGATGGTCGATTGATTAAATTAGTATTTTCGCCGCGGCACTAAAAAGGAATGCTTCCCAGGGAGTGGAGAATGCGCGGAATAGAATTTGGTGTCCAGGGTAATAATAATAATACTGTAAGCCCATTGGTCGGTTGTAACAGAGTGCTTCATAAGAAACAGTGATTATTATTACTAATGTAATCATTGGTCTTATTATAATCATTGTTACTATCATTATCTGTGTCCTTATCATTAGTATCATTATTATTATCATTATTATTTTTCAACTTACCGGTGTCTGAACAGAAGGCGTCATTAGGAGACGAATTCGTCCTTCCTCGATTCAATAAAGGTTTGTAGATGATATGCGAACCGTCAGTATTCTCCTTATCGTATGTCGATGCATTGGAGGGCTCGATAAAGAAATCCTCCTCTTCTCCTAGTGAAATGAGCCCCCTCTGTCAATGTACATGAGACAAAATATAATATATATATATAAGTCAAAAATATAATTTGGACAAACCAACACGATGGCCGCAGATCATTAATAGTAATTATAATCATTGTTTTAAACAAGGAATTATAATCATGTTGAACGTAATCATAGAATGATGACGTGAAAGACAGCAAGATTCGCAGTGATAGTTTTGGCGAGGAGAGTAATTTCACATTATTCGATATTTTGGGGGCACATCGCAAATTATATAATTCCTCTACATTTTTCGGTAACATGAAAATCTTCTTTCCACCCCTACCTTGATCAAAGTCATTAGTGGCTTCCTATGAATGCCTGAGATATTCGATAGGTAAATTAAAAAAACTGGAATGGACTGTTAAGAACAATGAATACAGCCCAATATTTCTACTAAAGATAGTAGTATGACGATATGAAAAAAGGCTCACCAATCCACGACACACGTTGACAGCAACCTGGGAATTTGCGTGGCCACGAACCACTCCATGATAAGAGCACTGACGATGACGTTCATACGCTGGTTGAAAACGTGATCGAGACACATTCGACGACGATCGTCTCTCCAGGACGAAGCCAGGCGAGATCAGACCTTCGTTCAACGTCAGGATCAAATGGAAATCCTTCTCCTTCGTGGCAACCATGTACTGCAGGTTTTTGTGATGCTGCGACATCGAGGGAGAAGTGGACCGACGATGACGACTGTCGAAATCATCCTGGATTACACGCGGGTGCACGATCTCAAAAGAGGACGAACGTTTGTCTAAAACCAATGGATTTATGTTTGAATATATTAAATAGGTCATAAAGATAAAGTTATGACAGACACATGCACACGGTCTAATGTGAGTGTAATAAGAAAAACCGGGAAAAGAGCGAGAGAAGAAAATAGGGATGGGGAGAGGGCTATAAGAGAGAGAGAGGGGGAGAGAGACAGAGAGAGAGAGACCGAGAGAAAGACAGACAGAGACAGAGGCAGAGAGACGGAGACAGAGAGACAGAGAGAAGTGGAAAGAATTTTAAAAAGGGAGAGAGAAAACACAAGAGTGATAAAGGGAATGAGAGAGGGGAGGGGATAGAGAGATGGAGAGATGGAGAGAAAGAGAGGGGAGAGAGAGAGGGGGTTAGAGATAGAGGGTGTGAGAGAGAGAGAGAGAGAGAAAGAGAGAGAGAGAGAGAGAGAAATCATGGGGAAAGAGACTAAAATAGAAAGGTTTATTTTTATAGATTAAATCAGTATAGAATATGTGGTGGTTATGTGGTGGTTATTTTACCTGACTGCTAAGAAAGCATGCATGCTTGTTAGTAAGCAACCAGACGGCCGACGGGTTTAGGTCCTCTCCGATGGACCTGGTAATGAGGATTAATGCCCTACCAAAGGGTTTCGAACCCGGGTCACCAGATTACGAGACCACTGCTCTACCGACTGAGCTATCGCTCATTCATCTATATGAATATGAAAGTTATGGATGCAAATGGATCCAAATCTTACCACAAGGACACGATCTTGTTATTTTGATGTAGTCGAAAAACGACATTTTCAAACGGAAAGAAATACAAGAAAAAGCGGAAACAAATCATCAAGAAACTAGGCAGACGAGAAAGTCACAAAACAAAAAAACTTTAGCAAGTTTATTTTGTATTTGACAAAACACCAGGATTTCTACTCGAAGAACATTAGCAATGGCAATTTGCCAAAATATTCCGTTACGTCACGCAAAAGTTCCTAACAAATAGAGTTTGATACATTCTTCTACTTCTTTTTTTTTTTTTTTTTATTTTTTTTTAATTGAAAGTACAACTCAACAACATAACATATTTACAACAATATCATATTAAAGGAAATGAATGTTTACAGAACACTTTTTCTTTTTTGTGTTTAAAAACTGTTAATCCCATCTGGAAATGTGATATTAAAAAAAAATCAAATGTTTGACAAGTAATATTCCGTACACTGAATCGAACAAATGTAAAAACAATTGGAAAACAACAGAAAACTACAAAAAACCTAAAGTTGAAATTTTGCAGAAGTGGTTTGTTTTTGTGGAATACAACTTTTTTAAACGTTCTTACCGTATTGTTGATATTCAGTCAGAGCGTGAGAAAACTGGACGTAGAACAAAATGAGAAGGAATTTCAGCATCAACATCGCCCGGCATCGGTGAGTAGGAGAGGGTTGTATCTGGGTTGAAGTGTGAGACGATCCCATGCTGAGAAAGAGGTAGGATGATATGGCACCCCGCATCCCGAGAAATATCATCCGATGAGTTCAAGTCTGCCTGTTATTATCTATTACAACACCGTAAATGTGATCTTCGCGAAGTGAAGTAGTCGCAACGAACTCGTCTTGCTTCGGCGGCGGTGCGTCCGTTCGTCCGTGGTCGACTCATCGGGTCACGCGTGTCAACTCGGTTGTTTATTGAAATATGTGACACTTCAGATGACAAGATCCAGAAATCAACAGCTCGACCATGGTCATGATGAAAGAGATGGATTATTCCCACAACCTTCTAAGGATAATCCAACTGTCTCTTCGTCCTCCTCCTCTTCCGTCCGGCTTCTTGAACGTTTGCCAGAGATCGTCCTGTCTCTCCGACGTCGTCATCAACAGGGGTTTCGGAAAATGCCGGAAGCGGAATCACTTAAAGGTTCAGAATGTCATGAGAAAGAGAAACGTGTTGGTCCCAAACCTGCAAACATACTGCATGCCAGGACAGACATGAGTATGATTCAATCAAAAGGGGCTTAGGAAGTCATGATGATAATATAATGCCAACAGTAAGGCCACAAGTGTCATTAGCGTAGCCAGGTTCCCAATGTAAGAGGGCAGCCTTAAATTTGCTGTCAATTTGAATACACGGGGTCTTTACATGCTAACATTTTCCGACAGAAAGTATCAGAGAAGTTGCCACTGCCACTATCTAAGGCATGATGCCTAATTAATAAAATAGCCCAAAGTTATCCATTATTTCGATGATAAACACAATAGTCGACGATTAATATGGAATAATGCATAGCTGTCACATAGTTGGTGGATTTTTAAGAGGGCGCTTTGACCCCCACCCTCTGGCTGGCTACGCCCTGGCAAAAACAAGAGGAGAAATCATTCATCACTCCACTTGACGCGGGGGTGATAAACCACGCATTCTCCGCCCGAAATAAATTGATGCGCATGTTTTCCAAGGGCACACTGACAGTTCCAAAATGAGCGGAGGTCGAAGTGCCTGTCTCTCATGGGGGAGAGAGAGAGAAAACAAGACAAAATAGTTCCATCGACAACCTCTGACTTTTCTGTTATAAACTACCTGGTGTTTACTGGTGACGTTGCTTCGTTGGAATTCGGGAGAAATTTATGAACGTACTACTTGAATCAAGTTCCCAGACGAGTCTTGCCCAGTAACTTTTGAATATGGGTATTGCTTGCAATGGGGTAACTTATTTTGATTTGACTTAATTTCTACAAATCAAATAATATTTTGTCTCCACTCATGTACATTTTGAGTGGTAGTAGTATTTTAGTAGTAGTAGTAGTGATGGTGGTGGAGGTGGTAGTTATTAGTGGTGGTGGTGATGGTTGTTGGTGGTGGTGGTGTTAATAGTGGTAGTGGTAATAGAGGTAGTGATGGTGGTGATGGTAGTAGTGATGGTGGTTTACTTTTGAATCAGTTTTCCAAAAATAAAATTATGTTCTGTCCCTCATTCACCTTTGGAGTGGTAGTAGTAGTACTGGTGGTGATGGTGGTGGTTATGGTGGTGATGGTGATGGTGGTGATGGTGGTGGTGATGATGATGATGGTGGAGGTGGTGGTGGTGGTGATGATGATGGTGATTGTGGTGGTGATGGTGGTGGTGGTGGTTATGGTGGTGATGGTGATGGTGGTGATGGTGGTGGTGGTGGTGGTGGTGATGGTGGTGGTGGTGGTGATGGTGATGATGATGGTGGTGATTGTGGTGGTGATGGTGGTGGTGATGGTGGTGGTGGTGGTGGTGATGGTGGTGGTGATGGTGATGGTGGTGGTGATGGTGATGGTGATGGTGGTGATGGTGGTGGTGATGATGATGATGGTTGGTGGTGGTGGTGCTGATGATGATGGTGATTGTGGTGGTGATGGTGGTGGTGATGGTGGTGGTGGTGGTGGTGGTGATGGTGGTGGTGGTGATGGTGATGGTGGTGGTGGTGGTGGTGGTGATGGTGGTGATGGTGGTGGTATTGGGGTGATGGTGGTGGTGGTGGTGGTGGTGTGATTATGATGGTGGTCGTGGTGATGGTGGAGATGGGGGTAGTCGATGGTGGTTATGGAGAACTTTATAAAGCCTGAAGTGACCCTATCCCTTTGTTCAACAGTGTGAAAATTTGCTATATAATTATCAATGATTTACAGAAGGATACCATACAACGATATATTTTGGACATCAGTTGAAAACAGCTTCAAATTAATCAACAAATTAATGCAATTATATTTATGTAAGGAGTATGGTCATTCTACCGATATACCAGGAAAGGAGGATGCTTTACTTTGTAATTCTCAAGCACCCCTCTTTCTCTTTAAAGATATCATGATGTTGGCCTCAATCTCTGGCTCTCGAATTCCAACGAGTGCCGTCTTCAAACTGCCAGACACACAACAAAAGGTTACTGCGTAATAAATGGCAGTTATTGACAGAATAGATAACCGCATGTGCCCTTTACACACCCCCATTAAACTCTGTCACATCACGATAAAGCATTTCTTTCCGGTATGACCGACTAGGGACAAAACAGTCGGAAGATGAGATAACGAGAATTTCATTTCCGAACAGCTATCCAAGAATAATTTTGCAATGATATCCTCTAAAAGTGCGTTGCAAATACTTTTAAGAATGCGAAATGTTTTTAATTTTGTTTAAGTGGGGGATGGGGGTGGGCGGAGTCGACTTTCCCTAAACCATGTTAACCCATTGACTCTATAACTACCCTTTCCCCCCCCCCCCCTCTCTCTCTCTCTCTCATTCTCTCTCTCTCCCACCCCCTCTCCCCCTCTATTCTCCCATCCTCTCCCTATCCCTATCATATTCTCCTTTTGTGTCTCCAGTTGATCAGGGCATATACCCCCCCCCCCCCCTCCCCCTCATTTAGCACCCGTCTCTCCTTTGCCATTCTCTGTTCGAAGCCTTTATATTATTTTTTGTTTCTTCTTTCTCAATTGTTGGTCGTATGCTGTCATCCTTCTATTCTGAATAGCGATATTTGTTCCATATCTAACACAAAAATGTACCTGGCCTACTTTTCTTTTCCGGTGGAAAGTGCTTGTTGAAAATGTAGGTTATCTGCCCTAAATTTACTTAATGCGTCCGTTAGTAATGCACATGAAAACAAAGAAATTTCTAAGAAATGATAGAACAACTTTATTCTTGTTTTCTCCTTCTACTCCTCCTTCTCTTCCTCCTTTTTCTCTTTCTCCTTCTCCTTCTCCTTCTCCTTCTCCTTCTCCTTCTTCTTCTTCTTCTTCTAATTCTTTTTACTTACGTATTATAGTAAACGCACTTCATTTTCTTTTAGGAACACTTTGCAGATACTTTTGGCTGTATTTTCCTTTTTTCAAAGCGAGCGGACGGTATGAAGCTTACATGTTCCTGGGAGGACTGATAGTGCATAGCGCCATCTATTCACAGAACATCGAGTGCGTGCATGTACCTGCAAAAACAATATGTCTATGTTTCACAACTAGCGATTTTAAGGTCGGGAAAGAGAGGCCTATTATTGATTGATTGATTGATTCGAATTTATTCTATTTCATATATCAATTGTTTGCACAATGAAGAGCATAGTTGACAAAGTAAGTTCAAAATTATGAAATGAAACAGGAACCTACTGGAAAGCATAGCTTGTTTTTGTAGGTTCCCAAGAATTAATATAATATGAACATTATTGAAAACTGTTTTGTGGCTTAGTCCACTCAAAAAATAATTTGCTTTTAATAGATAAAGAAAAACAAAAGAAACAGAGCAAAACAAAATAGAGTAAAATCGGATTACTAATAAAGAAGTTATGAAATTTGATTAAGTATGAAAGAAAATCCCTACACAAATTACCAATTTGGTTATCAATTTGTGACGTCATTACCTCACTATTTATCAATTGCTTAAAATGTTGTATCCCATTAAATCACCTTTTTATCCCCAAACTTTGATTTTCCCATGCCTTTGCCCAAGGTTATATGATTTGTATCATATTGCGTGCATGAAATTCACAAAATCTTTTATGATCTTTGAAGAATTTATACTATTTTCTGAATATTGTATATTCATAATCATTGATTTATACCTAAATAGTTTATCAAAATTCAAATTTGTCATGATTTAACTGAAAAATATTCTATATTAGTGCATCCATACACAAACATATTAATAATATAACTTGGATGCTGGTGTGAGGAAGTGAGATTTTTAGGGGGGAAATTGGAAATGTATATTATCGATATAAAGAAACAAATAGGGGGTGGTGATGCAATGATGTCACAGACTCATGAGTGATTTGCCAATTTGTCTTGTGATTTTCAACAATGTTCATGTCATTACAAATTCATACCTTTCTTATCAGTTATCCGATTTTGCTCAATTTGTTTGATTGGTTTGTCTGATTTTTCTGCGTCCATTGAAAGTAAGTTATTTCTGTCCCTCCCCCCTCCTCCTCTCTCTATCTCTCTCTCTCTTCCATTCTGTTTCTCTCTGTCTCATCTGTCTCTCCTCCTCTCTCTCTTCCATTCATGTTATTGTTAAATATCCATTGTTATTTTTTTATCCACACTTACCTTAGCTTTTGCTTTTTCATTGAATGTAAAAGAATTTCAATTTAGCTTTCAGCTGCGGTGGGTTGAGTATTTAATAAATCATGTATGACATTTCAAGATAATACTTGATTTTGGTAACAATCAAGAATAAAAACCCAACAGAGTCCCACATAATTATCACATTAGCATCTGCAAAATAATCTATGAACGCAATAGTGTATAATTTCGGTGAACACTAATCTAAATAAACGAGGCATTCCATATTTCCCGACCGCATACGTTGGCTACCTGCAACTAAGGAGCTAAGACATAGCTAATCCTACCTCCATGTTGCAACATTATCATGGTTAATCCCGTGTGTGTTGCCGATTTGTAGGTATTGTTTGCGGTCTCCAACAAGTTTTCGCTATTTTTTCTTTCTTTCTGTTGATTGTTTGTTTGTATATTTATTTGTGTTTACAGTTGGCTGGCCTAACATAATTATGCCACAGCTCATACTGATTGCATGACAACAATTTACACATTTTAAAAGAGCGCTTTCTTGAAATAGAGCTATACAGCATGTACTCAAAATTGACTTTGAGTATCACTGTTACCATGGTTGCTTTGAGGATAATTACCGCTCTCTTGGCTACAGAAAAATCCAATATTTTGACATCGGCCTTAACCAATTACATCATTTCTTTATGATTTATTACATCGTTCCTAATTTGGTTGATTGATTGATTGATTGATTTTATTTATTCATTTCATATAACAATTGTTTGCACAATAAAGAATATAGTTGACAAAGTAAGATCAAAATTATGAAATGTAACAGGAACCTACTGGGAAAGCATATTTTGT